CAGCAGAAATTTAAAGAGGGAGCGGTATGGGACTTTACGGACTCTGTTGGACAGATGTCTTTCACAGTTCATGTGGAAGAAGCTGTCTAAGGAGGACCCGCTCTACCATCTATGGTCTCAAATTTCTGAATTCTGTCCTGCCTCAGCTCTTCTTCAGGAACCTTAGGGCCGGAGAAAGCTCTTTGATTGCCAATTTTCAGTGCAGTCCAATTTTTGGACAGTCTTTCTGATGAGGGACGCTAGTGCAAAATTTGAGCTGCTTTTGTATGCAAAGCACACATCAGCAGCTCTCGGTCAGCCGGAGATTGGGTAAATGAACTAATATGGTTCAGGACTACTCAAGTGCTCCGATCTCTCTCGTGCGTAAATTCCTACTGCTTCATAACATCAGTTAAATTATTTATGCATCACTTTCTGTACTGCTTTGGCAGTGTACAGCAGCCTACATGCATTCTTCCTATGTCTTCGTGAGGTGCAGTTGTCAACTTCTGAGCCACTGTAGATTCCCGCGCAAACCCGTCGACACTCGAACGGTCATATTTATAAAAGTAATCGGGGGCCGCCGGTGTAAATGGATTCCAAACTATCTTTAGTGGCTCTTGTTGTTATTTGCTTTTTAGTACTTTTTAGTACAGCTTTCTAGTACGACACTTCTCACTTGTCATATTAATCCCCGTAGGTTTACTTTAGTGATGAAATGTTTAAGAAAACACTCAATTAGCGATCCACTTTTTTTTATAAGCAGAAGCGTATTGGTAATGTATTCTGCAGTACCTTGAAACATTTATTTATTCTGCTGCTTTGATATGCTGCATTGTTGTAATTTGGAAAAAGAATACAAAGATCACATTTATATTTAGTTCAGAAACAAAACACCAAACTAAAAATACTAAAAAAAAATTTAGTAGCAACAGTAGTAGTCAGTAGTTTTTTTGCAAAAAATGACTGGCTTTTTTTTGCAATCGGCAAACATTATCGCAGTACTGTTTTAATCAATAGAATTCAGATAAAAAAAATAAACAGTGTCAATTACAACAGGTAGTGAAAAACTAGATACCTGTTAACAGTACGCACTGAGTATGTTGTGAAAATTGCAACTAAATGATAGATTGATGAAGATAAATAAAAAACAACTAAAAAATAAAAGTTATACAGAAAATGCATGAAGAAGGGAAGAGGTTGAAAGATGATTAGCAGAAGTTAAAGAGACTTCTAGAACAAAATAAACCAAAATGAGTGCTGAAATTATAGATGAGAAAGCAGAAGCAGGAGAAGACGACGGTAGAGCCAGTAATAAAGACGAAGAACAGAGAGTCGGAAGTGACAAAAAGTTGTCGGTTGATGATTTTGTCATATTTATTTCAAAATATGTCTGTTAAAAAAAAAAATAAAAACTCATCAATTAGAACAAATACTATTGCTGAAAGAGTTTTTTTTCTAATGTAAATGCTATTTTAGACTGATTTTTAAAGTTCAAAGTAAATATAGGAAGTTTTTTGCCGTTTTTTTTTTTTGAATAATAACAAAGAATGATAAAGTAGAACGAAAAGTTTTATCGACCACTTCAGTAAGCGGTAGTAATCCAGTAATTCTGTTGCGAGGTTGACATGTTGTTTGTAAAAGATACTGTTTTTTTCAGAAATAACCAGTCAGTATTTCTAAATTATAGCATTCTTTAAGTAAAAAAACCAATTACTCAGGCTAACACTTATTGGCAGCTAAATCGTAAAAAAAGCAAAAAAAAAAGCTTTTTAAGCAAAAAAATCAAAACAGTCTTTGATTTTCAGCAAGTACCAAGAACAAAATGTGGTAGAAAGGTAAGAAGTTTGAAAAATAAAGAAAGAAACAAGAAAGAAAATGATAAAAACATAAAAATTGTTGCAAAAAATAGGTGAAGAAATTGTAGTTTTACTGATTTTTTTTTGCCGATTTAATGCGTAATGTTGTTGTTTCTTTTAATTGTTTTGTGATTTCTCAAAATATAAAATCAATCAGTAAAACTAAACATTTGACATACTGTAACAAAAAATAAAGTTTATTTTTGTCAGCTTAAATAGTATTTTGCATTTCTTTGCTAAAACATTTCTTAATGCAGCTTTTATAATATTAGTATAATGCTCACCTAGCAGGTCAAATAGTTTATATCGTAAAGTTTCAATTTTGATAAGCGTTTGATTAGAATGCCGTTGTGGAGAGCAACGGTATAACTATCAATACTTAACGCTAATTACTAATGCAAGAAAAATAAAAAGTTAAAGCGCACAAAAATTTACTAATGTTAGTTTTAAAAATTTCATCAAAAATGTCAAAATTTTTGATTGCTTCTGTGGCAGATTTTCTAGAAATTGTTGGAGAAATAAGTGCTGTAATAGCTTCAGCGGCTCAACTACAGTGACCTAAAAAGGTTGCATAAGTAAAGGTAACGACAAGAAGAAAAAACTGGAAATATAAAAGTTTCATTTGCCTGTGTTTTATAGCTGAAAAATATTTGAATAAAAATTTTCATTTACTTTATTTCTGAAATTTTAAAAAAAAAAAAAAAAAGAAATAGAAAAAAGTAAAGTTAGTTTAGAACGGAAGGTATCGGTGCACAACCAAGAAACAAGCAATTACACACGGCTTTCTTGGTAATTCCAATTTTAATAGCGTTATAAATTGCATTGGGCACTATGCTTCACCTAAAAGTTATAACAGTTTTTCAACAGTCATTTATTAGTGCTCTTTTTTTAATTCTTTTCCTTTTTTCTTTTTTCTGGAACAAAAACTTGCACATAAAGTTTTATAAAGATATGAAGCTAAGAAGAAAATAAATATACAAGTTGTATAATATTTGTCAATTTATGCAGCTTTTCGTTTTTATTAGCGTTTATTTCGACTATGTCAATACAAATATATAGCAACGAAAACAAAAAGATATATTTTTTATATTTCTAGAGGCTTATTGTGTCTTATGCTACAGTTTTGTTTCTAACTACTTTTTACGCTCTAAAATAATTTGACAATTTGTTTAAGCAAAGATATTGGGCTGATAGCTTCACTGTCGACTATTGTCAAAGCAGTTCAAGAAAAAAAAAAAAAAAGATCCGGAAAATGAATAAAGCATACTGATGAAGCTGCTATGATGTATAATCTCATTTCTGTTGGCTCTATGCATCTATTTATTTCCATTGACGTTCGTTTCTTAACAGTATTTATGTTTATTCAGTTATTGTTATATGATATTTAATATTTGGATATACATATATATAACTATAGCAAATAAGTCAGAATGGCATAAATTACTAACGTCTTCAATATCGTTTTCTTCTCTCCTCTTCATTCCTTTTCTTTCTCTTTCCTTTTTTTTTCCTTCGTTCAGTTACTGTTCTAATTTTTCTTCATCATCAGTACTACTACATTTTTTTCCTTATTCTGCTTCTTTTAAATTTTAATAATTTAATATAGTTTTTTTGTAGCGAATGAAAAGAAATGAGGGCTATTTTTAATTCAGCAGAGTAAAACAAAACAAGGAAAAACTACACTTTTTTCGTAGAATATTTATTGTCTCTTACTTTAGATTTTTTGCCTTTGTTTTATTCCGTTTTTTCTTCTTTTTTTGAGTCGTTTATGCATTGTGCCTCAACAACAAAAAAAATTTTAAAAAAGCGAGACAAATCTCAAGCAAAATCTACATTGTAAAAAAATGACCAGAGATTTTTTTTTTGTTTATTTTTCTATAAAAATTTTATGAAAATGCTTTGCTGTGATCAAAAACTATGGTGATGGTAATGGTGGTAATTTGTAAACAACAGTTAATTTCTAGTTCCATTAGCAAACCGAGTAAAATAATTACTGCATCAAATGATAAGAGCTACAGACAATTGCCCATTATCGTTGGATGTCCAGTGAAAAAACTTAAGTTGATTTTGCTGCGGTTTTTTATTTCATTTACAACTTTCTTCTAGTATACCGTGTTAAACGTTTGAAAGATCATACAAACGTTAGGTGAAGATGATTTAACAAGTCGGCTGATATTTAAGTGCTAAAAATCATAATCATTATGATGATGATGATGATGACTGTGATGTTAACAGTGATAGTGACGATAAAGCAACGAACAGCTAGATTGAAAGCAATGAAAAAGATAGGCTGGAAAACCGAGAAGTGAAAGCAAAGTCAAAATTTCGAGATTAATTGGTTGACCATTTAGAATTCGTTATATGATTTCATCCGTCTTTTTTTTTTGCGGGGTAGGAGGGAGTGGGGGAGCAAGCGGAGGAGGTTGATTTAAATTTGATATAAACTGTCTCCTTTTGTTCTTCCGAAACAAAAAACCAAATACTTTAAATTAACCAACAGCGTATCATTATTGGAATTGAGACAATCAAAATGGAACTAGGATAAGGGGACAAAAAAGGGGAACTGAAAGAAAACAGTAGTTAACTGCTGTATCAGCTTGGTATAACTCCACCCTTAGTTGTTCTTTTTTAAATCCTCTATTTTCATTTATTTATTTTCATTCTTTTTTTTTTTTTTTTTTTTTTTTTTTTTT